GGGGCCTGAGAGCTATTTGCAAACCAGCTCCCAGAGGGTGGGACATTCCCCCCAGAACAACGTGTGTTTGGTACCCGGACACCAGGCTCACCAGGGAGCGACGCCCAGAGAAGTGAGCCTGGGGCTGGGGGTGCCGGGCGGGGCTAGGCCTGGGCTCGCCCAGAGGCCATGGAGAAGGGCAGCAGCATCTCCCTGCCCAGCTCAGTGCCCTCTCTGCCCCTGGTCCACAGAGAGGAACGAATGGCAAGAGCCGGGGCAACCGAGCCACCAGGGTGTCCCCGAAATACAGCCAATAGGAATGCAGGCAGGGCTTTCAAACTGGGACAAAGGAATTCAGCGAGGGGCAGGTCAGGTCACGCCCAAATGAGCCGAGGCAATAAAACACAGGAGACTCGTTTGCCTCCCTCGCTAGAGCTTTATGAGCCAGGGCGGTTTCCCTCCAGGTAACGGAGATGGGAGGCGTCTCTCGCCAAGAAAAGTCTTTTCACAATAGGTAGGTAGGCTACAGCTAGTTAACCCGTCAGGCGTCATTGTTTTCCCGGTTTGGGACTGTGGAAATGGTGAGTGTGCTGCTGAAAGTGGGTTCCTCTCCTTTGAACCAAGTCCTGGGCCCGCGGATTCCCGTGAGGCTCGATTAATTAGTGGCTTTTTTCCCCCTAGTGACGTTCTCACGCTTGCAACTATGGTTTTGTTTTGATGATAAAAGTTTGTTTCTTTTTTTTGAATTAACCTGGTATTGGTTCAGTTCTGTGTCCTGGGAAATCGGTCAGTGGGATCTGCAGGCCTCCGACTAGGGGGCAGCTCCCACAGACGGCAGCTGTATTTGCTCTTTTCTTTGTCAAGCGCTTTGGGGGAAACGAGCTTGAGGTCCCCCTTAGGTCTTTAGGGAGGAGGTTTCCCAAGTCATCTCTTCCCTGGTTTTTCTTGGAATGCTTGGATGGTGGCACCCGGTCTTATTCTCCAAAGTCCGGGCATTAGGATTTTGGGGGAAGTTTTTGTACCAAAGCCTGGAGAGATCAGGTTTTGGGGGGGCTTGTGCATTTATCATGCCAGAATGTGGAACAGCCTCCACAATCTTCCTGCCCCGGTCGGTGCCTTTTCTGCCCCCAGCCATCAGAGAGGGAGGAACAACAGCAAGAGCCGGGGCAACCAAGCTGCCAGGGTGTCCCCGAAAGGCCACAGCTCCTGGGAGAGATTCCAGCAGCTGCCAGGAGCTGGCGAGGGGCAGGTCAGGTCACGCCTGAAAGAGCCGAGGACGATAAAACACAAGAGATTCGTTTGCCTCCCTCGCTAGAGCTTTATGGGGAAAGGAGCTGAACTGCCGTGGGGGGCAGGGCAGCCGGAGAGCGAGGGGAGATGGAGACAGACGGCGACTGCAGCCCAGCAAACAGCCGGGCGAGACGCTCTCCAGAGAGCCAGATCCAGTCCAGACCAGGAGGGTGCAGGAGCCGTGGGGCGGGTACAGGAGCTGTGGGGCAGGCACAGGAGCCGTGGGGCAGACAGCATATTCACGGTGATAGTGGAGCAGGAGTGTCACACTGTGGAGAATGACTCTGAAGGATTTTCCCCCGCTCTCGATTTTGTTTCCGGGTGAAATCATTTGTGCCGACCCTGTGGAGAAGCACAGAGCTGGGGTTACTGGCCCAGGGCCTGCGCTTGGGGAACCCTCATACAAGGAGAACCAGGAGCATCAAGGGAGTCATGAAGATAAGGGCCAGACGTGACAATTCATAAAATCATAGGACTGGAAGGGACCTCGAGAGTCATCGAGTCCAGTCCCCGGCCCTCACGACAGGACCAAATACTGTCTAGACCATCCCTGACCGGTGTCTGTCCAACCTGATCTTCAATATCTCCAAGGCATAGGAGTTGTGGGGCAGACAAAGGAGCCATGGGGCAGACAGCATATTCACGGTGATAGTGGAGCAGGAGTGTCACACTGTGGAGAATGACTCTGAAGGATTTTCCCCCGCTCTCGATTTTGTTTCCGGGTGAAATCATTTGTGCCGACCCTGTGGAGAAGCACAGAGCTGGGGTTACTGGCCCAGGGCCTGCGCTTGGGGAACCCTCATACAAGGAGAACCAGGAGCATCAAGGGAGTCATGAAGATAAGGGCCAGACGTGACAATTCATAAAATCATAGGACTGGAAGGGACCTCGAGAGTCATCGAGTCCAGTCCCCGGCCCTCACGACAGGACCAAATACTGTCTAGACCATCCCTGACCGGTGTCTGTCCAACCTGATCTTCAATATCTCCAGGGATATCCCAGTGTTTAACCACCCTGACAGACAAAAAGTTTTTCCTAATGTCCAACCTAAACCTCCCTTGCTGCAGTTTAAGCCCCTTGCTTCTTGTCCTGTCCTCAGAGGCCAAGGGGAACAATTTTTCCCCCTCCTCCTTGTGACACCCTTTTAGATGCTTGAAAGACGCTGTCATGTGCCCTCTCGGTCTGCTCCTTTCCAAACTAAACAAGCCCAGTTCTTTCAGCCTCCCTTCATAGGTCACGTTCTCTAGACCTTTCATCATTCTCATTGCTCGCCATGAAGTTCAGGGACCAGAAGTGACAATTCATAAAATCACAGAATCACAGAACAGGAAGGGACCCTGAGAGGCATCAAGTCCAGCCCCCTGCCCTCCCCACAGGGCCAGACACCGTCTCCAGGGGCAGAGATTCCACAACCTCCCCTGGCAACTTATTCCCGTGTTTCATCCCCCTGGCAGGCAGGAATTTTCCCTAAACCTCCCCTGCTGCAGTTTCAGCCCCTTGCTTCTTGTCCTGTCCTCAGAGGCCTAGATGAACAAGTTTTCTCCCTCCTCCCTGTGACACCCTGTTAGATACTTGAAAGCTGCTATCGTGTCCCCTCTCAGTCTGCTCCTTTCCAAACTAAAGAAGCCCAGTTCTATCAGCCTTCCCGCATCGCTCATGTTCTCTAGACCGTCCATCATTCTCATTGCTCCTCTCTGGACCCTCTCCAATTTCTCCACATCGTTCTTGAAATGTGGTGCCCAGAACTGGACACGATACTCAAGCTGAGGCCTAATCAGCACAGAGCAGAGTGGAAGAATGACTCCTCCTGTCTTGCTCACAACACACCTGTTAATGCCTCCCAGAATCATATTTGCTTTCTTTGCAACAGCATCACACTGCTGACTCATATTCAGCTTGTAGTCCACTATGACCCCTAGATCCCTTTCTGCCGTTCTCCTTCCTAGAGAGATGCTTCCCATTCTGTGTGTGTGACATGAATAGTTCCTTCTTACGGACAGTACTTTGCATTTGTCCCCCAGTTGCCAGGGCTCCCCTCCTTCAGTCTACACCTCACGGGGACTCAGTAGACCCACGGAGGGCAGGGAGGGGCAGCAGGCAATTCCTTCCAGTGCTTCATTTGGGGGGGCCCAGATGCCATGGTATGCAGAGTGGCTGCAAGTGCTCCACCCTGGCCTGGCCCCACTTTCACCCAGAAGCACCCTGGGGGCTGCACATCCAGCCACCCCCTCCTGGTGGGCCAGCAAGGCCATGCTTTGTGCTTGTCCCTGCCCACTGACCTGGCTCCCCAGGGCCCCCCCCCCAGGGGTGGTCCCCATTAGTTAGTTCCTGGAGAAGGGCTGTAGGCGGACGTGCGTCCAGCCCCAGCCTGACCCACCGGGGGATCCGACACAGCTCTGGGGCGTGACAGGGCCAGAATCTGCCGTCCCGCTCCAGAGGAAGCACCTTGGCTCCCAGCCAGGCTGTGCCCAACACCCACCTGGTGGCCCCCCAGTCATCTCCAAGAGATCCGACCTCCTCACGCAGGAGCCACGTGGTCTTCAGAGTTTCATTCCCACGAGCATCCATGAAGCACTGGCCCACAAAGACGGTGGTGGAGTCTGCGAGGGAGCAAGCAGAAGTCAGAGGGAGGGACACGCCGTGTGGCCCCAGGGATCCGGGGGTGCTGGGCGCTGTGTGGGGTGACAGCAGTGCTGCCCGGGGTGGCATGTTCCCAGGCACTGACCCAGACGGCGGCTCAGCACAATGACACTGTTTTCCAGAGACGCGGCAGGGCCAGGAAGGGGAGAGGCCTGCAGGCCAGGGAACACGGGCTCCTCCGTCTCCCTGCCCCACATCTCGACGCCCGGGCCAAAGTCTGCTGCCTTCCCCTCAGTGTTGGGGCATGTCAGAGTTCAATGGGTCTGAGTCCCTGTGACTATGGGGGGCCTGGTGCGGGCAGACCCTGCTTCTACTGAGTCATGGCCTTGCTGGAGTTTTCTTTTCCTGCGTGCATAGGATCTGTACCCACGATGCAACTTTTTAACCAACGGCCTGTGTGTTACCCACCCCCCTTCCCCGCTGTGAATTACAGTCAGTGTCACAGACCCTGCACCCCGTGGAAGCGGCGGATGCCAGGAGTTTCGTGATGTGAAACCAGCAGATGTCAGCTGAACAGCTGTAGACAGTAAGCAGGGGTGGGTGTAGTTATAGTGCCCCGGTGACTATCACACATTAGATGGGTATCCACGCTACTAAACTAGGGTACGTCTACACTGCATCCCGAGTTCGGAGTAGGATGCAAATGGAGACGACCGAAGTAGTTAATGAAGCGGGGATTTAAATATCCCGCGCTTAATTAACATGATCTCGCTGGCGCGCTAGTTCGAATCACAGCTGATTCAAACCAGGAAGTGTGCGCCGGGACGCGTTAGTCTGAACTAATATTAATCCTCAAAAAATGAGGGATGTAACTGACCAGTGTATTTACATAAAGGGTGCACTCCGGCACA